TTTGTGGAAGGCGAAGACTGATTCAAGCGTGTGTGTTATTAAATTATTTATAGAACTTTTTATGAATATATATATTTTTTCCATGTGTTGTATTGCGGTTTGATGTTTGCTTATAACTTCTGTTATTCCAGATGCTTACATGAATCAGGTAGAGTATAAAAGAAAGCCAGCTGAAAATAAAATTAAAATGAATTGATTTTAAAATCACATTATAGTTTGCAAAAAATGTCATGTTTGACCTCTGACCTCACTTTTACAATCCTGCCTTTCCTTCAAGCTGACCCCACTCAAGAGACAGAGAGCTGCACTGTAGTATAATATCATAGCTAATAAGCTAATACGCTCAAGCTATTCATGACCAGTTATTTACAAATCAATATCTATTATCCATGAGTTACTCCTACATGTTTGTGTAATCAAAACAAACATGTGTCCTGCTCAAGTTTTCAGGCAGTAGGCTAAACAAAGAAGTTTGTTAAAAAAAATAACAAAACAGAATGAATACATAGAAAATGTTATACTATTTCTTTAAAAGTTAATATTGTCCAGAGCAGGGGTCGGCAACCCAGGGCACATGTGCCAAGGATTAACTGATGCAAGACCATAGCGGGACTGGCCATCGGGCATACTGGGCATTACATATCTTTCAATGTGTGAAAGATATGTAATGATTTCTAAGATTCTAAGTTTCGGCTCAAACAAAGACAGTTTCATACTTATTCTAAACTTTAGGACATTAAAATTAAAAAAGTGAAACAAAGAATAATTAAGACGAGTTGTTTTGCTTTATTGGTTTTCAAGCTGGTAATCTCAAGGTTGTTTTGAACCTCTCAGTCATTCTTTTGTCAGAATTTTATTGGTGACGGTGTCACCTTTTGATTTGAGCCGTACAGATTAAACATTTATGATGATTTTTTTTTTACATAACAAAAAGTGATATGTAGATCAAAGTTCAAGTGGTATGGGACACATCATGGCAAGATAACGTTAGTTACATCATGTTGTAACTAACAGTTGCCTCTCAAAATCAGCAGGTTCCTCTGATTGTCACGGGTTGCCGGGGCAAGTTGTGCGAGTTAGTTAGGACCCAGGAAGCGGCAGCTCTGGTGCAAATGAGTTTAATAACAAAAGAAAATACAAACAGCAATGGCGAACATGAAACAGGCAAACCTAAACTGGGCAAAACAAAACAAGCCAGAAACGAAGACGCAGGGAGGTACGAGGAAATACACGGAAGACAGACGGACAGAAGCAGACAAACCAGCAATGAGGACGAGGGAACACACACTATAAAAACACACAGCAGTAATCAGGGGATGGGGAACAGGAGGGAAACACACCTGGGAGACATAACAGCTGACGAGGCAGGGGAAACACAAACAGAACATACTGACATCAGACAGAGACCTTCAAAGTAAAACAGGAAACACACCCTAAACACAACACACACCAACTAAACACAGACTGGAGGACACCGACATCGGGACATGAAACGTGAAACAGAAGAGTACAAAAACCCAAGATAACCAAAACCACAGAATAATAATAAACTTAACATAAACACGGAGTCACAGACTCCGGACCATGACACTGAAGTGATAATAAGTCTAAATAGATCACTTCTTTAATGTCATATAAGGTCAAACTTTCACAAAATGTATTTTATCTTTAAACTCTGCTTAAAATGCAACAGTCTTTGTTTGTATTGGCAACATTTAGGACAATTATTTGGACACAGTTCAGAATCACTTTAGTTTGGTTTTTTTACAGTAGTGTGTAAAAGTTTTTTCTCCTTTCTGATTTCCTAATTTTTCTATGTTTGTCACATTTAAATGTTTCAGATCATCAAACGAATTTAAATATCAGACAAAGAAAACACAAGGAATCACAAAATGCTGTTTTTAAATGACAGTTTTATGATTAAGTGGGAAAAAATCCAAGCCTACGTGGTCCTGTGTGAAAAAGTGATTTCTCTTGAAACTGGTTGGGCCACCTTTGGTAGCAACAACTGCACAGAAGTGTTTGCAATACCTGGCAATGAGTCTTTTACAGCACTGTGGAGGAATTTTGGCCCACTTATCTTTGCAGAATTGTTGTAATTGGGTTTTAGAGCATTAAACAACCTTTTTAAAGTCGTGCCACAGCGTCTCAATTGGATTCAGGTCAGGACTTCAGGTCATAGGTGGACTTACTGTTACATTTCACATCTGCCTTACTGTCAAGTGAACCTCAAAATGCGTCATATATAAAAAGCAAAATGTATTCATGATAAGTTATTTACAAATAATGCCTATGACCCATTACCCTCTCCTACATTAAAAAAAAAAAATATATATATGTAGGAAAAATTGAATATTGATAATGATATTGTGATAACATCATTTTCATTGTAGTTTAGAAGTAATATTACATGCACTTTGCTTACAGACAAAACTCTTATCAGAATTATATTCTTGAAAGACTTACTTTGACAAGAATATAATTGCGATAACAGTTTTCTCTGTAAGAAATATATAAAATTCCGGCTCTCATTCTTTGTCCTTCAAGCTCGGGCCTTTACCAGAGTCCTGGGAGTTTGAGGGTCCTGCGCAGTAGCTTTGCTGTTCCTAGGACTGCGCTCTTCAGGACAGAGGTCTTGGATGTTGTTCCTGGGATGTGCTGGAGCCACTCGCCCAGCTTGGGGGTCACCGCACTGAGTGCTGTTATCAATGGGACCACTGTTACCTTCACCCTTGACATCTTGTCTTAGCTCTTGGTACTTATTAAGCTTCACGTATTCCTTTTTCCTGATGTTGCTATCCCTCAGTATAGCTCCATCTACTAGTTACTACTATGTTGAGTTGGTTAGGCATCACCTTCCCTTGGCCTGGAAGATATCCGGACTTCCAGGCGATACTTGGTATAGATGTTGCTTTTTACTGTGCCGGCCACTTGGTTATGGCGTTCCATATATGCCCGGACTCTTGTACCCTGCTGTTATGTGCTGGATCATCTCAGGCTCATCTTTACACAGCCTGCCCCTGGGGTCTTGCCTGGTGTGGTAGTCCCCAGCCTCTATGGATCTTGTGCCTCTGTGCTGTCTTTTAGTCGAGAGGACGGTCCTTCCATGATAGTTCCTCTTCTTGCTCCTCATCCATCTTAGATTTCTGCTGACTGAGGTATTCACTAAGTGGAGATAAATTCCCCACTTAGTGAATACCTCAGGATATGAATTCTACATGATTACTATTAATAAAAAGTAAATAAATACATGTTAAAACTAAACTTGTATCAAATAAATCTTTTTGATACCTTGTTTCACATAAAAAGGCTTCACAGACAATAGCAATAATAAGAGTGGTAACAACACAAACCTTTCAACATCTCTGCAACACTTAGACAGTAAGCTGTTAACTATGTTAAACATAAAAACAAACCAACATAAGTCAAAAGTAAATAAAAGAGTTAAAAGACTAAAATTAAGCACCTAGGATAGGAGTAGTAAAATTAATGACTATGATATGATTCTACAGCAATAAAAAGTATATCAGAGCTCAA